AGGAACATGGATATGTTCCGGATACCATCGAGGAATTAACTAGCATATGGCTTCAGCTTATACATCAAATCACATGAATTCAATGGCATGTTTATAATACTTATTTTCCTGAATGTGCTTTAGACCATTAAGTGCATACTTCAATCCACTTTCTCACAAAATACTAATAAAATGCGGATTGACAATCTCACTTATAATTTAAAACTTCTTGGGCTGAGCACATAATTCATCATGAGAATTTGCCACCCCTACATCTAGACCGAGCTCACTTCACCAATAGCAGTTCCTTCATTGTATATGGTCTGTCTGTGACCGGACATTAGCCATAAATAAGTTAGACATACGGATGTTTGCCTTACGTACGATTGCCATAAAGACGATACCCATAATAGACGACAGCCATAATAGACGATAGCCATAATGTACGGTAGCCATAACAGACGTGAGCCATAATTTTGTTGTATTGGATTTTTTTAATACAATTGCAATGCAGTACCCCTTTAGATGTTTTTTGTCAACAAACCCGAAAATGTAGTGTTGCCAAACCGAATGGTTTTATTTTGAGATTTCTTGTATGATTTCGGACCACCAAAAAGTAGAGAGGAATCATCTTCATGACTAAGCCTTTAATAATTTTAATTACGCGTACTCTACTCACAAATATTTTTTCTCTTTAGAAAAATGCAATGGAAATGCATAAATCATTTCTTGTTATTTTTTTTTTTATGAAAAATTCAATTGAAATATTCACAAATTGTTATTCTCTTTAATATGACTCCTTCTTTGAAAAATAAAATAGTTTAAAAAATTCAATTGAAATAATCAAAAATTATTTTTCTCTTGTAGTTGACTACTGCTGTAAAAAGCATGAAAGCTGTTCTTTGACAGATACAATAGTGTGAAAACTCCAATTGAAAATTCGCAAAAGTAACAGCTCTCTTGGAGTAGACTGCTTCTTTACAGCATTAGCTGTTCTTTGATTTTTATAAAACATTCAATTGAAATATTCACAATTTTTTTCTTGGAGTTTATTCCTTCTATATATCATGAGTTGTTCATTGACTGATCAATGCTTTTGAAAATTCTATCTAAAATACTCGAGATCCACTCTTTTCACTTGGAGTTGACGCTTTTTTGTTTCATCCTCGAGAATTTCTTTATTCTTTAACATTTCATTTTTCAACTCCCAAGTTTTTCACAATCACCAGTTGTAAACTGTGAATTACCAATAAATATATTATGGCAAGCGTACATCCAAAGCAATCATGTATTTGAAATTTTTTAGTAAATAATATTATAAGAATTATGGCAAATCTCTTTTATGGCTATCGTACATTATGGCTAACGTCCACATACGAAAATAACAATATGACTAACGTCCATTCTGGCACCTGTCCGAATGGGAAACGTCCGTATGTCAAACGTCCGTATGGAAAACGTCCGTATGGAAAACGTCCGTATGGCAAGTTTTTCACAATCACCAGTTGTAAACTGTGAATTATTAATGAATATATTATGGCAAGCGTACATCCAAAGCAATAATGTATTTGAAATTTATTAGTTAATTTGATTATAAGAATTATGGCAAATCTCTTTTATGGCTATCGTACATTATGGCTAACGTCCACATACGAAAATAACAATATGGTAAACGTCCGTATGGCTAACTATTTATGGCTAATGTGGTGTCATCTGATCTGTCCATGAAACAAGCGACTCACGCGATTCCAGAAAAACATCGACCTATTATTATCCCACGTATTTTTACTGAAAAGTACCAACACGTCAATTACATGAACATGTTTTTTACTCAATCGATCCACTGTCTGCGATGTCTTCAATGAGAACTCTAGCGCTTCCCGTGAACTCCAGGAACCTTGTTCCGTTTATGTTGCTAAGCTGACAGCAATCAACTACGTATCGGGGATGATTTTACTATATGGCAGCAGACCAGTAGGTAATTAATCTGCTCGGATAGTCTCAGTTCGATTGAGTATTACACCCAGATATGCTTCGGATACACCTGGAAAACCAGTATTTAGTATCTGAATTCAGATATCTTCCTGGTGCCCCTGTAATATTGACCAGAATATGAGATAAAGCTATATAATATTATGGTTTCGGGTCATTTGGCTGAATGCCGTTTGGCCGAATGCCAAACAACAAAACTCCAAAGACTGCTGAATGAAGGAAAAATCTGCTATTTTTTTAAATTCTGATTTGTCTTAATTTTATGACAAGCTGTGTTTACTGTGCAAAAAATAACTGGAACAACAACTGTGCTCATTTTTGAAAGGAGGAAAAAATCTCTTAAATTTGTTAAAATATTTTTTAATGAAATTTTTGAACAAGCTGCGTTTACTGTGCATAAAATAATAAGATCATCAAACCTCCAAAGAACTGCTCATGTTAAAAAAGGGTGGCTAAAACAATACTAATTACATAACTAAAAGCTCATCTTTATAAGAGCAGTGAATTCTATGACAGTATTAATTTTCAGTTTTATCTATCTATACATATAAAAATGAATATCTGTCTGTCTGTCTGTCTGTCTGACCCTTATAGACTCGGAAACTACTGAACCGATCGGCGGGAAAATTTGAATGCAGGGGTTTTTGAGGTCGGAAAAGGTTCTTATGATTCGAGACCCCTCCCCTCTTTGTAAGGGGGAGATCCCATACAAATGAAACAGAAAGTTCTGCATAACTATTCTATTAAATTTTCAGTGGTTCAGCTAGTACAATATACAATTTAACCAACAATCGCATATTTATATTGTCAAAAAACCATAATTGTGGAAAGTTAAAAAAAAGTTCACAGGGCTGCCATTTAGGTTCAAGTAGTGTTCAAAAATTGGAAATCTCTTTTCAAGTATTGGGACAAACGGCATTCAGCCAAACGACCCATTCGGCCAAACGGCATTTGGCCAAATGGCATTGGGCCAAATGGCATTATGCCAAATGACACTGGGCCAAATGGCATTGGGCCAAATGGCATTGGGCCAAATGGCATTGGGCCAAATGGCATTGGGCCAAATGGCATTGGGCCAAATGGCATTGGGCCAAATGGCATTGGGCCAAATGGCATTGGGCCAAATGGCATTGGGCCAAATGGCATTGGGCCAAATGGCATTGGGCCAAATGGCATTGGGCCAAATGGCATTGGGCCAAATGGCATTGGGCCAAATGGCATTGGGCCAAATGGCATTGGGCCAAATGGCATTGGGCCAAATGGCATTGGGCCAAATGGCATTGGGCCAAATGGCATTGGGCCAAATGGCATTGGGCCAAATGGCATTGGGCCAAATGGCATTGGGCCAAATGGCATTGGGCCAAATGGCATTGGGCCAAATGGCATTGGGCCAAATGGCATTGGGCCAAATGGCATTGGGCCAAATGGCATTGGGCTAAATGGCATTGGGCCAAATGGCATTGGGCCAAATGGCATTGGGCCAAATGGCATTGGGCTAACTGGCATTGGGCCAAATGGCATTGGGCCAAATGGCATTGGGCCAAATGGCATTGGGCCAAATGGCATTGGGCCAAACGGCATTCGGCCAAATGGCCGGACACCAATATCATACAGTATTATACGAGAAAGACGCATGTCACAGGTAGGTGAATTAATCAGAGTTTCTATTACTATATTTTGAGAATATCGGAATGTCCCTCAAATGATCATTGTTTTCCTCGGTTAGTCGGTCTCTGTTGCGCAATCGAGTCAACGGGCGTCGATTGACATTTGGTGTTTTATTACCGACGGCAATGGAGTGCCAGGCAGGTGACTTCCAAAACACCTGGAACCTATCGTTCCCATCAGCACGTGAAACCAATTGGATTTACATCCCTTCCAAAGGAAGACGTGATCAAAGATTTTTTCATCTCAGAACAATCCCAATGACCTCGGCTGGGATTTAATACAAAACAATACTGAAAAGAAAACTTGAATTTATCCATCTACGTTGCTATCTGACCTATCTTACTATTTGAATTCCAACCAAAATTATTGAAAATCGAAAGTTGTCAAAATATTTTAACTAATTATCAAACACGCTTAATATTGTTTATTTTGCTCGAACATATAATAATGATAATATTGTATGCCATGATCTCATACTTACTCTCTAGCAGGAGAATGAAGGTAGAAGTTTCATCGTTAATTTTGATTCTTCTCTTATTAAATCTTACATAACCAGTATAGTTTTTTTTCAAGTATGTATAATGTTTTTCGAAACCTTGGAAAAAATTAAGAGGAATTAACCTAATCGATAACATAGACTTGCAATTTGTTGTTCCAAAACTATTGTAGCCTTTCTCTTTTTTTAGTAAAAAAACGTTTGCATCCATTTTCGTCTTTTCATTAGAGTGTGAGTTATTTTTTCGTCATAAAAACCCAAGCCAAACATTTTAATATGGGAATTCCATGAAAAAATCATTACTGTTCTAAGATGCTCAGCCTTCAACCACTAACCCACCCATCGATGAAAAAACTTAGCATATCAGCACCACCAGACCATCTTAATGCTCTTTTTCTTTTCTCATCTAAGCTGCTGCTTGATTTATCCGTTAGCTATTCTAGCGCAATTTAAAATCTAAGTGTTAATACCGAACGTCATCATCTAAGGAATGAGAGAAAAACAGCTAATTGATCAGTCGTAAAAATCGAAAACTTCTATGAAGGAAAAAGGGAAACCCAAACCAATAGGGAAACTATACAAACCGATTTCGGTCAAAATGGAAACTATAATAATGAAATGGAATGGACGAATGTAACCAATACTGGCAATTGAGAAAGAAAGATTAAAGGTTTTTCTTTGGATATTTATAAAGTGTGAACGTGTGAATTACATCCAAATGCAGCATATACGTAACATTAACCAACAATAAAGTAAACTTTCATAAAGGTACACTACATAATGTATGTCATATATATATATATGAAAGAGCAATGCGAGAGAGATGTTCATACGAGTGTTTATAGAGTGGTTTTGGAATAGAAACCTTGTCGGCGATTCATTGTCTTTGGCCGATGATGAGCTGGTTCCATCCTGAAGGAGGCTTCGGCTGAAGAGCAACTTGGCCAGCGAGTCCAGTTTGGCGCTGACCAGGGGCGACCGTTCGGAGTGCTCCGATTCCGAATTGTTGTCGTGGTCCGAGCTGACCGAGCGGCCTCTGCGAATGGAACAAGGGAAGATAAAACGTTGGGTAAATAGCGATAGAATTGGATTTGTTTCTGACGAATTTATTCCTTTCAGCGGTGTATTCTAGGGTAGACTCTCACCTAAACAGCATCCGTTTGCTGGCAGCTGATACTGCCACTTCGGATCGGGGCTCGTTGAACTCAGCAGCTGATTGGGCACGTCGCATCTTTCTCTTCTTGCGTCGGTAGCTGGACCTGCAAGTGGCGAATGGTGGATTGTAATGTATGTGATGTTAAGATTGTACATCTAACTGGATGTGCAAGGAAAGCATTCTAATACAAAGGTACGTTGGAGTTCTTTTTCTTCTTCTTATGTTTTAGTTGGTAGGATTTAGCGCCAGGGTTTTTTTTTCAAACTGATGTATGCAATTACAAAAAATATACAAACTCAACCAACTTTACATTTTAGTGAATAAATTATAAGCATTGGCAATATGTCGTTTTTGTTCTCACTTCCGCTGCTTGATGCGGTGCATTTTGGGCATATAGTAAAAACGCGCCAAGTTGAAAGCAAATATATAGGATTTCCACAAAATGACAGCAAAAAAAAAGTTATACAGATAAATCAAAAGGGTACATTCTTTGTAGTGTATGCTTTCCAAGCTCCCGTGAGCAAATATAAACATATACAAAAAAAAAGAAAAATATTGGAGTGTTTATTTTGCGCCAGGCTTTTTTATATCTTCTCAACTTGTGCATTCAGTCGTAGTGCTCTTTCAGGGAAGGCATAGAAATGTGCAGCTTCAGGTTGTTGGTTTAAAAAAGCTAGTTCATCATCGATGGCAAAAAAAATTTAAAAATAATTTTATATAATTTGTGAAGCAATATTTCCCTGTGCTCTTTGCGTGAATGCTGCACTGCATATCATTTAGAGGGGGTGCATGTGCGCGATGCAGGTGCATTATAAAAAAAAACATAGATTGACATTCAGGTCAGCAAGTGTTTCACTACTACTCACCAACGCATGCAATGGATTGGGTGAAAATCATCAAACTCCATGCAACTCCATTCCCTGCGAAGAGAACAAAAACGACAACAACACGATTGCAACAGAGATTGTTAGTACCAGACATTGTCAAACACACTGAGCAGAACTAGGCTTTCGCGTATAGGTTGTGACAGATTGTGATGTCTGTGACATTTATGTTTGTTTGTTTGTTAGTTTTGATGGTTCCGTGTTTGTAACATCAGTCACGAATGAAAATGGAGCAGATTGGAAAGTGCTGTTTGGTAAAGGATACCTAAATGATCCATTCAGATTGATTTTTGTCTGGTTGAATTTCATAATTAGTGCCAGTTAATTTAGTGTTTCTGATTTTTAGCATGTAATTGTGTGTGACTCCGTAAAATTTGCCCAAAACTATTTCAGTATGTACTGTTTAACATCAGAAGCATCATCGATTGGTACAAAGGATGAGCCTGAAAAAGTGGACGGATGTGTGTCTGTCATAATTTCTTTTTTTGCGACGATAAGCATGCGAATATACACACAATTATCTTGCTTGAGATTGTCATCCATTTTCATGAATTTTCATGCATTTAGCTGGAGGTGGCTGGGTTTGATTCCCGGTCCGGTCTAGGAATTTTTCGGGTTGGAAAATTTCTCGACTTTCCAGGGCATAGAGTATGATTGTACTTGCCACACAATTATACTAATGCAAAAATGGTACGGGCATCGAAAGTTCTCAATTAATAACTGTGGAAGTGCATCAAGAACACTAAGTTGAGAGCACGCAATAAATTAAATGGCCATACACAATAAGCTTGAAATGCGAGAAAGAAGAAGAAGGAGTGGTGAGTAATGACTGATTGCATGTGAAGTACTTAACATAGGCAGGGGAGAAAATTTTGAAAAAAAAACAGTTCATGCACTTAATTGTATCCAAATGTCGCTTACCTTGACGGACGTTCCTGGCAGAACCGATCGTGTCCGGTGGTTTCCATCACGCGGGCTTCCTTCTCCTCAGTGCCGTTCCGCTTGTTCATAGTCGAGTATAGATTGAACATTTTGAGTTTGGTCTTTACATTAGTTACGTCGCAAACGCGTACGATAATTTTGCGACCGCTCTTGATAACAGTATTGATTGTCTTGTACAGTGAAAATGACACCGCTTGGCTGCCGTTGGTGCTTGTGGTGGTGTTGGTGCTTGTGGTCGTTGAGGACCCAATTGATGCCGTGGTCGTCGCCGCCGCCGTCGTCGGAATTGTTTGAAGATTGGCACCCAGGACCAAACTATTGCTGCGAGGTAACTTGCCAGGGGGTAGAGGCGGTAGTGCAGCAAGCGGATTGGATACCACCGGACGACCGTTTGTGACCACCGGTGATAGTATTGTTCCAGTTGCACTACCCAAAGCTGGTGCGGTTGTTGCTTCGCTAGCCGTCGGTGTTGATGGTTGTGGCCGGAGCAGATGAGCTCGCCTCTGCCTCGGTGGCAGTTGTTCCGAATGAGTTTGTTGTGACTGAGATGATTGATGATGTTTGTTCGTTGTATCCTGAGTGTGTTCGAAATATTAGACGATTGATGCAAAACAACATCATGATGATGAGTTTTGGTTTTTCTTTCGAGCATGACCAAATTCAGTCCGCGTGGCGGACAAGGACCGAAAACGGTGAGCATTTTGCTCCGACAGGTGGTAATTGACGGTGTGGTTTTCCGGTGTTGTGGAAACGCGCGGTAGATTCCGTGCGATTATTGGATTATGAGTTAATTTATCAAAACGAAGCTGACAGATTTGGACTAATTGACGAACATGGTTGGAACAAATAGATTCGTGCTTGTGACGTTGTTGGTGGCAATGCTTCCCATCGGTTATATTCCACTTGTAATGGTATTATTCCCATTTCATTTCGTTATGTTAACAGTTCTAATTTAATTATCATAGGTAGACATATTTCATCAGTCAAAAATAAGCCTTCTTTAACCCATTTCTTTTGCTTGGAGTAAAATATTCAAATCAATTAGTACAGGATAGCAACTCTTCCTTGATTTGTTTTCCGTCGATCTTGTTTTCCGTGCTGAGCACCAATGCTACCGACGCCAGAGAGGCCTCTCCCACACCTGGACCCTACCTATCGACCCATCAACTCATGAACCGGGGACCAACGGCTTTACTTCCATTCTGAAGGAAGGCGTGATCAGAGATGTTATGCCTCAGAACATCCCGGCGGTGCCGACTGGGATTGAACCCAGGCCTGCTGGGGTGAGAGGTAATCACGCTTACCACTACACCACCGGCGCCGCTACCAGGCAAATTTGGAAGAGGTCGAGAATTGAAATTTCCTCTAGGAAAACCTTAAAGGTGGTTTAAGTCGAAATAGATGTTTATTTTCAAACAAATCTAGTGTAAGGGGGGGCAGTGGCACCAGTGGTGTAGTGGTAAGCGTGATTGCCTCTAACCCAGCAGGCCTGGGTTCAATCCCAGTCAGCACAACCGGGATGTTCTGAGGCATACAATCTATGATCACGCCTTCCTTCGGAAGGGAAGTAAAGCCGTTGGTCCCCGGTTCACGAGTCCCTGGCGTCGGTAGCATTGGTGCTCAGCACGGAAAACAAGATCGACGGAAAACAAATCAAGAAAAAAAAAATGTGTAAGGGGCACACTTAAATGACACAGCATTTTGTTGACACATTTTAGTATATTTCCACTTCTTTTTTCACACGAAGAATATGCACCGTGTAAAAAAAAATCGTGTAAAAGCAACCTACCAAGATTTTGATTTTTCGCATGCAAAAAATATATACAAAATGATGTTGATGCCAATACATGCTATGGTCCATATAGACATACTTAAAAAATGTCTGTATTTAAACCAAATAGTGTGATTTTTTTTAGTATGCCATTGGATTACCTATGGCTTGAAACGTCGATTGGTTGTATCGTTATCGAGAAATCGTTAAAACGTACCGCGTAAATGGCGACTCAGCGGCACCAACCGTGTAAAAGAAACGTGTAAAACGCCTAAAAAACCGTGTAAAAAAGACTTGAGTGTACCTAAAACAGGACTGGTCACAAAAGTGGAAGACCACGTCCTGTCCCCCTAAAATGCTACGTCAGTAATGCATGGTCCCCAAGGGTTTGCATTTACAAAATGTTCTCATTTCTTTTTCAATCGCATTTTAGTCTAATGTCTACCTAATTTAAACAACATTACTTGAATAAATATGGTTCAAATAAGCCGTCAATGTTTTAGTAAATAAAATAACTTATTTTTTAAAAATTGACTAATTTCATCTAAAAGCTTGTATGGGGCTGGCAGTACCCTCTCAGATTCAGTTGAAACTTTGTGGAAAAGAAGTAAAGCCGTTGTTCCCCGGTTCATGAGTTGATGGATCGATATGTAGGGTCCAGGTGTGGAAGCTGTCTCCCTGGCGTCGGTAGCATTGGTGCTCAGCAAGGAAAACAAGATCGACGGAAAACAAATCAAGGAGAAAAAAGAATCTGGAAAGACCACCTAATTATCTACATGTTGTCCATATGCTGCAATATGGGCACTTTTATAGTTAAAATTTTCATGTAAATACCGTAAAAAAATCATGGTATCCATCTTGCTTGTAGATAATTAAGTGGTCCTTCTAATTTTTTTTTTCAAAAACAGGAGTATTTGAGAAAAACCCTTTTTAATTTGTAAAAAAAATCAATTTGGTAATTTCATTAGATGTTTTTATGAAATTTTAGACAATTTTCTACAATTCACTCATTTACAAAAATCGTGTAATTCTTTTTAGTAAATGATCGTTATAGCCTTTTGAACCTTTTATTTTTTCTTATCCCTTATTGTGTCGTTTTTCTTTAATTCTACTGCTATTGTATCACTTGCACTTTCACTAATTCACTTTCACTTTGACCAATTCACTTTCACTATCACTTAAAAAAAACTATAACAGATATGTATTTCGTTTACTACTTGCAAACTTCTTCAGTGTCTAGTCATAGCCTATGACTAGACACTGAAGAAGTTTGCAAGTTGTATACAAAACACATATCTGTTATAGTTTTTTTAAGTGGTAGTGAAAGTAAATAGTAGAAGTGAATTAGTGAAAATAAAAGTGATATAATAGTAGTATAATTTAAATGCAAAACAACGTAATAAGGCATACATTTATTCCACTAAAACGCACATCAATCAATTTAGCATTTTCGTGTTTTAAAGTTATTACATTTTTTTACATTCTGTTTGGCATTTAGGTGCAATTTCCTTTGATGCATTTTATGAAAATTCAATCCCAGTTTTTTTCAACGCATAGTTTCAGATTGTAAACGCTTACGTAATTTTGTGTGAAACAGCCAAATGAATGAAATGATGAGATCTTTTTGCTATCTGAATATAGTATCAAAGTAAATTGAACCTTAAAAACGTTTATTTTAATTTTTTCGCTTTTTTGTTGTATTTTTTTTTATCATCTTTTGACTTGTGGTTTTATTTTTAAATTTTTGTGGCTCTACTAATTAGTTTCAAGTTTGATTTCCTGCGTTTTAGGATTTATTGTTATTTTTGCAATTTGAAGCATTCTGATAGCGCCTTTCCCGAGATTTTTTAAAATATAAAAGATTGAGCAAAAAACTATTCTGCAGGAAGACCCTATCCTATAAAAAAGAAAAAAAAAATAAAGGGATAAACATATTTTTTCTTCAACAAATTAGCCTGAAATTATCTCAACTTCGTCGAAGAACATGTGTCTTTATTTTCAAAAATAGGAAAATTTGTTTCTGAATATCTATTAATTGACGGACCATCCTATTTTTTAAATGACCGAAAATTGAGCTTTGAACGCAAAAAAAAATTTCGCTGGTAATATTACATGTCTAAGGCTTAAGACAAAAGCACTAGGACTTTTGTCTTGCTAAAATCGTATACTGGACCAATGCATAGTGATCCAGCATGAGAACTTAGCAGAAATTGTGGCTTAAAGCTTTTGCTCTAAAAGTTAGTTAGGATTCTTAAATTCGCGCGAAAAGTGTGTCCGGATTCCGTGCCGTCGCAGTTGATTCCTCGCGAAACCGCGAATTCGGTAGACGAAATCAGTCAGCCTTTTTCAATGGTGGAACTTTCACTCGCTCTCCTTTCGTGTGGCAATTCTGCCCCGGGATCTGATAGAATCAAGTTCAACTTGCTGAAAAACCTCCCAGACGTCGCTAAAAGGCGCATGTTGAACTTGTACAATCAGTTCTTGGAGCTCAATATTGTTCCCGACGATTGGAGACGAGTAAGGGTGATAGCCATTAAAAAGCCTGATAAACCCGCGTCGGATCACAATTCGTATCGGCCCATCGCGATGCTGTCGTGTATTCGGAAATTGATGGAGAAAATGATCCTTTTTCGCCCCGACAAATATGTTGAGACGAACCACCTTCTTTCAGATACTCAATTTGGTTTCCGTAGGGGTAAGGGAACGAACGACTGTCTCACGTTGCTTTCCTCGGAAATTCAGTTAGCATTTGCTAAGAAAGAGCAAATGGCTTCTGTGTTCTTGGATATCAAGGGGGCTTTTGATTCAGTATCCGTTGAAGTTCTTTCAGAGAAACTCCACGCTTGTGGATTGTCTCCATTAATGAATAATTTTTTGTACAATTTGCTGTCAGAAAAACATATGAGCTTTTCTCATGGAAACTCTACAGTTTTTCGATTTAGCTACATGGGTCTCCCCCAAGGGTCATGTTTAAGCCCCCTTTTGTACAATTTCTACGTTAGAGAAATTGACAATTGTCTTAGTGACAATTGCACGTTGAGACAACTTGCAGATGACGGCGTAGTGTCTATCACAGGGCCAAAAGAGGTTGACCTGCAAGGACCCTTACAGGATACCTTGGACAATTTGTCTACTTGGGCTATTCAGCTAGGTATCGAATTCTCCACGGAGAAAACTGAGTTGGTCGTTTTTTCTAGGAAGCATAGCTCAGCACAACCGAAGCTTCAACTTTTGGGTAAACTGATCACTCATTCCATGTCTTTTAAATATCTCGGGGTCTGAGTATCTGAGACGAAAATGTCAACTAAGGATCAATTTCCTTCGATCAATTACCGGAACGTGGTGGGGAGCCCATCCACAAGATCTTCTGACGTTGTACCGGACAACGATTTTATCGGTTCTAGAATATGGTAGTTTTTGTTTCCAGTCGGCAGCTAAAACGCACATCATCAAGCTGGAACGGATCCAGTATCGTTGTCTTCGTATCGCGTTAGGATGCATGCACTCGACTCATACTATGAGTCTCGAAGTGCTGACGGGCATGTTGCCACTATCCGTCCGTTTCCAGAGTTATCTCTGAGGCTCCTCACCCGTTGCGAAGTAATGAACCCACTGGTGATCGAAAACTTTGAGAAGCTTCTGGAGCTAAATCCTCAAACATGTTTTATGACTTTGTACTACCTATATTTAACACAGGATGTCAGCCCTTCAAGAAATATTCCCAATCGTGTAGTCTTCTCCGATTTCGGCAATTCAGTGAATTTTGATTTATCTATGACGCAGGAAATCCGCGGAATTCCAGAGCATCATCGTCCTATGATTGCTCCGTCATTATACGCTGCAAAGTTTGGCCATGTTGATTCTGCAAGAACGTTTTTCACAGATGGATCTCTAATAGAGGAGTCCGCTGGTTTTGGTGTATTTAATGAATTTCATAGCGCCTCTCGAAAACTTGAAGCTCCTTGTTCTGTGTATGTGGCTGAACTGGCAGCAATTCACTACACTTTGGAAACTATTGCTTCACTTCTTCCGCACCACTACTTTATTTTTACGGATAGTCTCAGTTCTGTCGAGGCTATCCGTTCCATTAGGCCGGTAAAGCACTTCTCGTATTTTCTCTTGAAAATACGAGAACTGCTTAGTGCTTTATCCGTGCGCTCTTTCATCATCACCTTCGCGTGGGTCCCTTCGCATTGCTCAATTTTGGGCAATGAGAAGGGGATTCACTTGCTAAGGTGGGCGCTATGGAAGGCGACATTTATGATCGACAAATCGCCTATAGTGAATTTTTCTCTATTTATCGTCAGCAGTCGCTCGTTTGCTGGCAACATCAATGGAGTGAAGGGAGCTTGGGACGATGGCTACATTCAATTATCCCTAAGGTGTCGAAGTTTGCATGGTTCAAAGGGTTGGACTTGGGTCGAGACTTCATACGCGTGATGTCTCGTCTCATGTCCAATCACTATTGTCTAAACGCTCACTTGTTCCGTGTGGGGTTGGGAGACAGCAATCTCTGTGAATGTGGACAAGGTTACCAGGACGCTGATCACATCCTTTGGTCTTGTGCGGAGTATCGTGGAGTCAGATCACATTTTTATGATTCCCTTCGGGCTCGAGGTAGACAACCTAATGTTCCAGTTCGGGATATTTTGGCTAGACGCGATCTGGAGTTTATGAAACTCATATATGTTTACTTTAAGGATATTAACCTTAGATTGTAAGTTTGATTAACCTTGTGTTTAGTTTGTATTTTGTACGTGTGGATTTTTTTTCAATGTTTGTTTTCAAGATGAATAGAAATAATTTCATGCTTTAGGATTAATTAAATAGTTGTATCGTAAACCACATTTCAAACCTCCTTCTTCCCTTTTCCTATCCAAAAAATTGTAAATCTCCACTAACCTCGAGACAACCGCGAGTACTCGGTCCAGTTCCTTTAACTTTAAATTTAAGACAGTAATAATGTATAACGCAAAGGATAACTCAGCTCTGTAAAGTTTATTCGATTGAGCCTGTATAAATAAAGTAATTATAAAAAAAAAAGTTAGTTAAAAATCCAATTAAAAGTAGATTTAATCTGATGAGTTTTTTTTTTAAATCATGTAAAATCAATTTGACTTCGTTAATTTCTCAAAAAGTAATTAAGAATAACTTCCCTAATAAACAAATACCCGGAATGTGGAACTATCCCACAAATAATTTGGATGATACCCGAACATGTCGTTCAGCTCTTTCATATGGTTGTTTTTAATAGGGTTCATTATAAAATTTATTACAATTAGGGAACAAAGTTGGGAACATTGCTTAGGCGTAGGCTTTGAAGCATCCCTCGTAATGTCTATAGAATACATTAGTTGCTGTTTGTGCAACGTCATCTACATGTATAACTGCCCTACTTACTGTAGCTACTTTACAAAGCAATACAGAAAACAATATACACACTTAGAAAAATTCATGTAAATTTAAGTGCTCTGAGAGTGATATATACGAGCGTAAGTTTTGACATAAATTTGAGTCATAACACACGCGAAACATAGCTCAATCAAACGTACTTTCCGACGAGTAACGAACTTTTTAGTCTAAGTGTGTATATTGTTAATACGGCATATTTGGTAACACCCAAATTCAATTCGGCAATTAGGGTAATGAGAACATTAAGAGGTAGAAAAATGTTTCTTTCACGAAGCTGCTTGAACCGAACTCAACAACATATGCTTAAGTTTCAGAAACAAAAAAAAAGTTTTGATTATCAATTATTGTTTTAATTATCAATTATTGGGGTGGCCTTCAACACCAAACGCCTAAATATTACAGCAATAGCTCTTGGGTTACGGAGACGAACCAACCTTAGGCTGAAAGTCTCCTTAATAAAGAAACAACAACAACAACAACAGCTCTATGACTACTATTCCAGCTGAATTCCTATTATGGACCACTGTGCACTGTGCATTGCGCAACGCTTGAGTGAGGTAAGTATAAGGATGAACCCAAAGATTCCTGAAAAAAAAACACGACTGAAATGTTGGTTTGAGCACGATAAACTTTTTCATGTTTCGACGTCCAACTAGTCATCAACATCTTAACACGATCCGTCAACTTCGAGAAGCAGCAATTCCAAGCAGAAAATCCTCCAGGAATCAGTCGCCACAAATATTGCGTAAATTATTCTGAAGTGTAGGTTCCAAATAAGGTGGATCTGACTGTGTGGAACTTTTGGCTAGGCATCTTGCCGTCTGAAGCCGTTCTCCAGCCTATATATATATATATATCTGGTTCCGGTGTTGATAAATTTATGGAAGGGGGTGTATGGAACGCAAAAGATCGAAAACAACATCATATACAATCGTGGGCCCGGAATCACATTACCCACACCCGGGCATGATCCGGATGCCCACAGGAAAGCGGACAGAATCAGCTTTGGGATTAAACCCACCGTGACACATCAAGCCACATTATTAGTAACCTGCCTCTCAGTGATATAATGCAGACATTGCTTTGCTTCTCTTTCTGAATGCGGGTTCAAGATTTTTTGCTGCAATTCAATTAGTTAGAATAGTTGGACCTCACCGTATGTATGCTTCTTTCCATTTCATGTGGAAGCATGTTTCATGTTCTGAAAACTACCGTGCGTTTCCTTTGAAATACCCACTAGTCGTTTCCACCTGTTCGCCATCACAATTTGCTGCGATTATTTCCCTCCGGTTCAATATTATTAGAAATAATGCCGTTAGCACACAAAAACTGAACGTAGCATAAAACGCACGTGCTGCCACCAATTCAGTGTGTGTGCGGTTTGGCGTTAACAGATTGTTGCTTTTTCCATTCGTTATGCTGTCAGTTCTTTGCGTTTTCCTGTATTTTCTTTGCATATTGTTATTCTTTTCGTTTATTGCACTACCGAACAACAGTCACCAACTTCATATGTTTATGTAGTCAATCGCTTTTCCGCCGCTCGGTGGTTCACTCACTTATTTTGTTGCGCTTTGCCGATATGTATTTACCTATTGTTGTCTCCGAGGCGCACTTTGTGTATATTATGGATTATTGAATTATTTCCACTGTCGTATGGACATAAAGTGGAAAACTTTCATCACGTTCACGGGAATGTGACATGGGACGAAAATCGATAGCACTCGCTAGTTTAAATTATTTATTGCGTTCCACATTTGCCCCAGTGATTTTCCCCAGTAACTCATCACGCTGCATTTTTTTCTCTGTAGCTTGTCCGAGGATTGTGAATGGGATTTATTTTCACAAAATTCGAATCCCATTATTCATCAGTACGAAACTGAATGCCAATTGGTGCGAATTCTTATCACGTACCACCCGAACAATCAGAAACCGTTTATTAACGATGCAATTGAGATTTTAATTTACCATGCACTAAATCCCTCCGAAGCATTCCACCAAACGAACACAGTTTAAACTTTCCATAGTTTCAAGTTCACTTCACTTTTCATCACTTTTACGCTTTTCTTCACTCATAATTTTCTCACTGAAACAAAAACCTCCCTTCTAATTTAGTTTTTCATCTTCCAGACCGACCAGAGTCATCAATCACACTCGCGCCTTCGGCGAAGTGTTTTTAACCTTCTCCGTTTTCCCGTCCCGGATATTCATTAAAGCAGTGACACGCACAGAAATTCACAGTGGAAATTAATATTGACTTCACTTCAGAACTGGTGCCCGTGCGAAAAACTTCCGAACGTCCTCCTGGCGAAGGATAACGCGCCCGTTTTTCTCCGGCGTCCGTTGACGAATGAATGAGGCGTTGGCAAATTATGACTGACTGACTAACCGAACGAACGATTCTGAAGTAGGGGCTTCCTTTCGCCGCCGTCGGTTTTAGGTGTGTGGCTTCTGTGTTGGCTGATGGCTTCTGCTACTGCTAGCTGCTTGAATGTGAAATGAGTTTTGTATATGTACGAACATTATCTGGGTGGAAATACGTGTTTTTTTCCTCCTTGTTCTATAATGTATGTATAACTGTATAAGGATCGCAAATAGTAAACTGCAAAAATGTGTTGGCTGCAATGTTTTTATCTTGGTTAGAATTGTATCTAGGTTTCAGTGGAAGTGGTCTGCAAAGGAGGGATTTTTTAAGCCTGTCGTGTTTTGAATAGTGAAAATCCTTCAACCAGCATATTCTGTTCTTAATCAGTTCAAATTGTCAGTTGGTACTCTTTCTTAAATAATTTATAACTGATATGGAAAAATAACGAGAATGACTTGATCAGTAAAGTTAAATTAAGTTATCTACAACTCTGTAGAAGGTGGTATATCAGAAATAAATTAATTTTTGTCATATTTTGGGGTGGTTGGCGTCTTTCATCGACATAAATGCCTTATGATAAGCAAAAACTACACAGAAGTTAGTTGCAATTTCAGGGTCAACTAATTTTTAATGCTTAATTTTCTTAATAATACCCTTGGCATTCTTCAAAGTCTTTTTCTAAAGTTCTGCTTTCAGACCCCATAGATTTTTTCCAGAATTACCGGGTCATTCTCTACGGGAGTTCTTAATGTGAATCTTTATGTCATTTTGAAACTTGAAGAACACTTTTGCTGTAGGGCAACAAATAGGCAGTTGCAGTTTCATTATTTTATGTTTTATGGGAGCTGACATGTGTGTATCATTAGAGATTAATCTCAAGGATACTTAACAGAGTTTCCTTGGAGTTCCCTGAAGAATTCCTTTGGAGTTACGCCCATTGATTAAATTTCAATCTAATTAATATCTTGGAAAAGTTACTACGTAGAAACTCTGTCAAATCGGCCTTGTATCGTGTCGTTTTCACAACCCGCTCACTACGTCACTGCTTAAATCAAAAGGATTTCATACTTAGGCATAATGTTCAATAGATATAAAGGATGATAGGATTGATAGGTATTATGGATAAGAATTATGTAATAAAATAAAAAGTAACTCAATTTCACATTCCACTTTCTTTGAAGAACACAACGTAACGTTTCCGGTAAATGAAAATCCACACATTTTTATTGGTAAATTTCCGTGTGGAATTGCACTTAATATTCATGTGTCTCCACATAAACAAAATTCACTAAAAAAGTACACATTACATTTATGTGATAAATATCATAGCATTAGTGTGTAAACACATAATAAATAAATAAATAAATACGTTTTATTATTCTGTAGTTGTGGTAAAATCAGTAAAAATACAGTGTGGGACCGAAATTCGTACATTTTAAAAAATCGAAATCCGTACTCTTCATACATGTATGAGGTTTTGGTATCACTAGTTTACAGTATATTTGAACTTTGTACGGTGATGGTCATGTCCCATGTAAAATCGTGCACTGAATCAAAGACATCATATCCAGAAGACTGGCAACTTTGCCAGAATCCAAGCGACAGATACAATAGCGCTGCGCTTGAGTGAAGGTGGAAGCAACGCATAGAAAAATGAGCAAATACACAAACCTTTCTTCTGAGGATGTAATTTTTGCTATCAAATTCGTTCGAAGCATTTACCTTTGAGCGGCAGATGACGCGATTGTACCTGTCTCATAGCGTTCGTATGAGAAAATGGAAGAGTTGCCAGTCTTCTTGATTTGTTGTCTTCGACTGAATCCAAAAATGCAGTCAGGAAAAATCTCAGCAAGATAGTTTTCTAGATACAGCTAAAAATTAAATTTCACATAATAAAAGTTTGTTTACTAAAATACAAATATCTCCGGCTGTAATGCAGCTATATGAATTATTTTAATGCCAAATTAAACTATTTGCCAACTTAATTTTAATGCCAACTCGATACTATTTGTCAGTGAGATTAATGGTATTGTTGGCACAACCACTACAAACATTTGTATTTACCTTGCTTAAACTTTATTTAAGAGATTTTTAGTCTTAGGCTAGTTCATCTCTCATAAGTAAAAAAGAAACTAAAACAAACTATTAATTAACAACAATACCACTAATATCACTGACAAATGATGTTCAGTTGATCAAAATACCTTTAATTTAGTGTTCAAATAATTGATATAGCTTTATTACAGCCGGAGATATTTGTGTTTTAGTAAACAAACTTTTTTTTAGTGAAATTTCATTCATTCTGTATCTAGAAAACTATCCTACTGAGATTTCTTTCTGACTAAATTTTTGGATTCAGCGCTCGATTATACATAAGGATCCCAGGTTAAACATTTAAGTTCATTTTTTAACTGTTATTTGTAAACTAGTGTAATCAAATGAAGTTGGTTAGAAAACATAAGAAAAATACCGGAGGGAAAATACCTACTACCCACCACACCATTGGAAGCAAAGCTGTACATTTTCCTATACAAAATTTAAAATTCTTCCGCAAATCGAGATTATAGCCAAATCCGTTCAAAATGTGCACAGTTGTTTGGGATCTAAATACGCATTGAAAGAGCAATAGGGAACAGGGGGTTGTAAAGTTGACCCACCCTAATGTATATGTTAGCAGCACAGACATGTATATAATACATGTATTAGCAATTACGCTTAGAGTGTAGGTAGCAGGTTGCACATAGCTGAAACAAACTTCTTCGAACACTCCGGCACGTGGGTGCTTGGATGCGTGTGTAAGGATCACAAGCAAGCAAAAGGTTCTGTATAATGCATATATAGGGTAGGTGTACCAGTTATGGCTGTATGTTCCTATTATAGTGTGTTCCAATTGTAGCCTATGGGAATTTTATAAGCAATAATTGGAACACACCATAATAGGAACGTATAGCCATAGCCTACCCTACCTACGTTTGGGGAGGATAATTTCACAAGATAGGTACAACTGCTGGCTCGACTGGATGGCTGATTGTTGTTACTCCTACGCTTTGGCCTTTTGCCTCACCACTCGAATCGTCTGTTTTTGATATCGGAACCATGATGGAACGTGGGAAGCAGATTGGTGGATGAAAGGGAACTTTATGGAGGTTGATACCTGGTATTTAGACGCCTACAAACCACTTTTGGAAATGCGTGTGTGTGTGTGTGGAGTGATCAGCATTTTCGAGAATATTTGGATTCTTGTTCGAATTAGATAGCATTTGTTTTTCGGGACCTAAGCGATATCCGAATCAAATGCAGATACTTCTAGCTAGCTTTTGTTGGGTTCTCTCCTAAAGCAATCAAGACGTCACTCTCAGCAGGTCTGCTAGGATTTGTCGTTGTAGTTATTATTGCTGATGTAGGGTGTTGGAATTCGAGAGCGTGTACAACTGTATTCACGTGCGACACATGATGCTGCTGCTTCTTAACCTTTGCTGACTGGAATGGTGGATTCCATTCCTAGAGCTGAAGAGTCATTAGACAGTAACGTACATGGAAAAAAAACATAGTGAAATGTCAGAGCCCGCAGCATTTCAATTTTTCTTCTTCAGTTCATGAGCATTTTCCCTCTCGTCTATGCCACTATGTAGTCTTACCACCACAGAGCACGCATACGACGTGAGTTGATGTGGGTGTGGAGGTGGGTTTCACTGCTTGATTGTGCTTAGGGGATTTGTTGAATTTTCTAAAAGATCAACCACCACCTCCATGGAATGCTACAAGAGTTGCTTTAATTTCGTGAATGAATTTGAAATTTTATTTCCATTTCCCATTCCTAAATACAGAAACGGTGCTGACTTCAATACTATCAAAATCGAATATTCGGTATTGATGAAGTGTTTATAAACTATCGTGTTTTTCGATGAGGAAGCAGCAAATAATTACGCATCATATTTTTTAATTTGATGGAAAATAAGTGACGCATTTGGAAATTTAATCAACTTAATTGAAATTAGTGAAATACCATACGACCGAGTCTGACGTCTTTCCCGTATGTTCTTCTCTCGCTGAACACAATTCAGTTCATGAAATGTCGATTCTCCTCCCCACTCATAAAGCAAATTCAAATACGAGACACCGCACCGTGCACACCGGAAACAAAAGGTGAAAGTTCATTGCTCAATTTTCTCATTCATTGGCATTGCCGCCCACCACCCGGCAGACATTTTCCAATTTTTAAATTCAGTCGTTTCGTCGAATTACTCCACCCTGCGGCTGGCGGTCCTGTTGTATTGAATCCTTTAATAGCAGAAAGTGCCTGTCTGCTAATTGAAATTCTGTATTTTCGCCTAAATATTAAATATATTAGTTTCAGGCTAATGGAATTCCAACCTTCCGAGACGCTCCGGTATACTAAGGAAGGCCGGATCATTATAGTTGACAAATTGTGACTAATATACCCTGGGTCCCTGGCAGAATGTGGCGCTATGTGGCTTCCAAGGCATGAAATACATCATTTGCCTCCACCAAGCGGGCAAACCATCAAGTCTTAATGTCCGTTTGAGGAGAATTTGCACCTTTTGTGTGATTTAAAGGCCAAAGCTACCAGCATATGTATAGATTGAACGTATGAACAGAGAGCATCGGCGTCACAAGTGCTGAAGGAGGGCAACTAAGTTTTTGGCAAGTTTACTGTAAGTAGAATGGTTAACTTTATATCGGATCGATGTTTCAAAGGTCTAGATAATAAAGAATAAAATTAATCATAATCACATACACACACTTATAAGTGACTAATTTTACACGTAACGGAATTCATCTTTGTCAATAATGGAAAGTTAGCAAACATCTTATGTAATGCTCAGCGTGATAGGTGGTTAGACCAAATGTAACAAGATTTGGGAAAAGTGGGACGCTCATGAAATTGGAGACAAGCAGTCGCGAACTGAGATAGTTGGCGCAACAATGTACAGCAGGTGACGTCTCACCCAGGGCACAGTGGTCCAGAATGGAAATTTAGCAGGAGTAGTAGTCCTAGAGCTTTTGGTGAAAAATTTAGACGTTTG